TCACATAGCTCAGCAGTAAGCAAGACTGTATGGTGGCTTGTGATCTGGGGGTGGGGGGAGGGGAACATCTGGGTGTGCTGCACAAAGAGCCTCCAGATGATTGAGTGAGTGTGCGGTGAAACACCCTGGAACTCTGCAAGAGGGCAGAGCGTGTGGGGCAGGGCTCTCCGGCAGACCTTTGGCCTGGCACCCTTTCCTGGTGGTCCTGTGGCTGTGTCTGGCGTGGGGGCACTTCACGGCTCTGGTGGTCTTGGGAGTGGGTGGAAGGAGGCCGAGAAAGCCTACGCTGTCCAGTGGCCACCCACGGAAGAGGTGGTCAGGAGGTTACGGGGCGGGCTGGGTGGTGTGAGGCTGCTGCTTCCTCGGGATTCCGGCGCCGCACGAGGCCCTTGTGTGCTGGTTGCTGAACAGGGTCTGCTGCTCTCTGGGTGTATGGTGTTCTCCTCTCCCGAACTCCCTGAGGGGGTGGATGACTCCCCATGAGGAAACCGCTGTGGGTAGAAGGGGCCGCAGGGCTGCCCCTGGTGCTCCACATGGGGCTCTTGTGGGTGCCAGGGAGGTTATGTGTGCTCTGGGCCTACTACACCCCTTTGGGGGCAGGGCCAGCAAAAGCGAGGAAAGCGTATCTGGGGAGCTGGTGACTGCCTTGCAGAGGAGGGCAGCCCCGTGTCCCATGAACCTGAGTCCTGAGCACCCGCAAGGATGTGGATCTCCCCAGAAGCCGGAGATGCCCTGCCATCTGGGGCATTAACGGAACCCAGCTCCAAGTGAAGGACCTCCTGCAAGTCCTTTGCCGGCCAGGGCTTGCTAGGGCCAAGGCTGGGCTGGACCCGCTGATCCACCTTCTGCCGCTCCTCGGTGTCAGCCTTCTCCTCGGCCACCAAGACCACGTCCAGCATTATGTCATCCACCACCAGCACTGCCTCCTCCCTCAAGGCTGCCTCCTAGCTCTTTGCCCCAGCCGCCCTCCCTTGCAGAGCCCCCAGCCTGAACTCGGCCCCCTCCTGGAGGCTCTCACAGACCATGCCTGTGGCGTCCACCCCAAGACCCCGGCAGCCCTAGGCTGCCTGCGAGGCCCGCGGGCCTCCCCTGCTGAGAACCCCATGCCGCGCCTACATGGACCGCGGGTTCCTGGGGAGCCCCAATGGGCTAGCTGCCCTAGGCACTTGCCGTGGGGCCCAGGTCCCCAACAGGGTCAGCTGCGCACAGGAGCCCAGGAGCAGGAGGCGGAGGCCCTGGTCTTACAGAGCCCAGCCAGCAGGCACCACGGCCGCTGCTGCGCTTGTGGTAGCCTCTGGGTCCACAAGGCGTGTCCAGGGCACTGGACGTGAGGTCCTTTGGAATGCTCCTGGACGTCCAGCATCCTCAGGGAGGTAGCAAGGTGCTCGGAGCCCGTATGTGCATATCTGCAAGAGTCCCAGCGAGACTCTCCACCTCCGGAGCAGACAAATTCCACTCTGGCAAGATATTAGGCAACTTTCCTCCCATGCGCCTGCCCCGCCCCACTTCCTCAAGCCTCTCCGCAGCCCTCGCCCCAGCAGCCAGCGCTGGTGCCACTCTCCCTCCTCTCGATCTTGACGTTGGAATACTCAGTACCATCTACCTGGCCTGCCGAGCGAACTGAGATGCTTCATGTGTTCCCTTTGGGTCAGTGGTTTGCCACACTCATGATGGCAGTTAGGGCCCAGCGCTTCCATGCCTACAATTCCAAAGGGCAGGCAGCCTGCGTGTGCCCGCACCCAGCGCCGCCTGCGGCAAGCTCCCGGGGCTTCTCATCGAGGCTTACTGGAGGAGGCTGGGGCTGCAGACCAGCCGGGGGGCGTGGCCTCCAGGGACACGCCCACCGCCCTCGCACTGACTGGCCGCTGGGGGAGGCGTGCAGTCTGCGTCCCGCTCAGACAGCCCTTTGGGGGCAGTTCGCCGCGGGGGCGCCTTGAAGTCCTGCGCATGCGCCCTGGGGGGTCCGCCAAGCCACACGCAGGCTCCCGTAAGCGCAGCAGAGCGAGGAGGAGGCCACCAGGGAGGAGGAGGAGGCGCTGGTGGTGGAGGACGACATGATGGCGGAAGTGGCAGTGGTGGCCGAGGAGGAAGCCGATGTGGAGCGGGAGCAGCGGGACAAACGGGCACAGCCGGGGCCTGGGCCCATGACGCCAGAGTCTGCACTGGAGGAGCTGCTGGCCGTTCAGGTGGAGCTGGAGCCTGTTAATGCTCGAGCCAGGAGGGCCTTTTCTCAGCAGAGGGAAAAGTTGGAGCGCAGGCGCAAGCCCCACCTGGACCGCAGAGGCGCCATCATCCGGGGCATCCCCGGCTTCTGGGCCAATGTCGTATCCTTTTCAGCACTTTTTCTGTTTGTCCAGTTGAAAGATGCCCTAGGGGAACTGTAAGTAACTTACGGGCAGCTCAGCGGGGATATGACTATTCTGGAAACAACGGTGAGTTGCCAGTTGCGGCGTGAAAGGCTGGCTTTAGAAAGCCGCAGCGGTCGCGGGTAGTGTTTTCCTGCCTGCGGCAGAGAAGCCCTTCCTGATGCCGAGCAGCAGGTGTTTGAGTCATGTTTTTGAAGAGCAGAAGCGAGTTCTCGCCAGCAGAGTTTTTTCTGAGAATCAAACTATTGATAAGGGAGTGCGATTGCTCCCCCTTGCCAGTCAGATCTGGGACAGGGCATTTTCGGGTATAAGCGGGTTCTGCCACTCCTGAGACAGCAGCAACCCTCTGCAGATTGCCCCAGTCAGCCTCAGAATTACACACGCTCCGTGAACCCACGAGGCCTTAATTCGGGGGAGGGGGTGGGGAAACGAAGGTCACACACTCAAGCAGATCTCCGAAATCCCGTGCCCCAGCCTTAGAGCTTCTTCCCTGTTCCTTCTAGTTCTTAGAACTGCTTCCCTGTTGCTTGTAGCTCTTCCTTCCATCCACGTAAAGGCTCTTTGACCTACGTCAGATTGCGAACCACCCCCAGATGTCAGCCCTGATCACTGACAAAGATGAAGACATGCTTAGCTACATGATCAACTTGGAGGTGAGGCCGTGAAGACTGAGGCTAGAGGGTTTGGTGAGGAGTGATAAGGGAAGCAACTCCTTGCTGTCAGCAACAGTGGGCACCTCACCTGAAAAGATACTTAAGCTTTCTCCACCTTGTCCTGACAGGTGAAAGAAACAAAGCATCCTGTTCATGTCTGCAAGATCATGTTGTTCTTTCGGAGCAACCCCTACTTCCGGAATAAAGTGGTTACCAAGGAGTATCTGGTGAACCTCACAGGTGGCTGGTGGCTCCCAGGAGGGGCAGTGGATGGAAGGTGGTGGGTGGGTGGATCGTTGCCAACGTGATCCAGCCCACTTCCCACAAAATCTCCTCTCTGTAGAATACAGGCCCTCTCATTCCACTCCAATTCAGTGGTATCAGCGTTATGAACGTGAGGCCTATCGCCGCAGACACCACAACAGCAGCCCTAACTTCTTCAACTGGTTTTCTGACCACAACTTCGCAGGATCTAACAGGATCGCTGAGGTGGGTCCTCACTGGGGAACATCAGGAATGGCCCCGGTGTGTTCCCAGCTGCTTGGCTCACCAGTCTGAGCCCTGATGAGGCCTTTCCCAACTGATTCCTCTGATAGATCATAAGTAAGGACCGGTGGTGCAATCCCCTGCAGTACTACACAAGGATGAAGCCACCTGAAGAGGGAACAGAGATTTCAGGTGAGCTGTTCAGTTGGAGCTAGAGCTGACTGATCCCCAGGATTAGAAGGTGGACACACCTCTATGCATGGAGCCTGGATGGACGCTCCGTTCAGAAATGTAGAAATCGAGGCTCCTTTCATACATTCCTTGACAGGGAGACAGAGAGTGACAGAATCCAGTACATTCAGGGAATTTGGGCTGAAAGAGGCACATCAGAGACTGCACTGCAAGGCAGGTTAGAGCTGGGGAGTCTTAAGCCCAGTGAAGCATAGTCCATGTCCAGACTCACTGAGAAGTGAAGCTGAATCATTAACTTCAGTTTGTGGCACTTGTTTCCATGGCTGCCAACCCCACCGGCAGTCATCCTACCAGCCCGTTAAGATTGGGCTCCCTAGATATGCCTCCTTACCACAAACCACAGTGACTCTTTAGACTGATGTTCTTATACTATAGCCCCATCCAATTTCTGTGTGCTTCTACTGTACTACGCGTCTTGTTAGCTGCTGACTTCTGTCACAGAGAGAAAATGCTGGAAGTAGGGCAGGTGTGACAGAGAACAGCTTGTAACATATGGTGGGAGGAAGTTTGGGAGATCACAAATGGGGAAGGGACTAGTCTTTTCTGGACAGGCCCTGGAATTAAAACATTTAAAACTGTTGCTCAGAGGAAATGCATTTTGACATGCAGTTGTGTTTCCCTAGGGGACTCCCAGATTTCGGGTCGAATATGATGGTGCTGCTGACTTTACCTGAAACAGCAGAACTCCTGAAAAGTTACTACATTGTTCAGGATGTCCGTACTCAACGTGGTCTTATGCACAGGAAATAAAAGAAAGACAGATCCAGTCATAAAAAAGTGCAGACAGGAAGAGGACATAAACTTGGATTTTATGGAGTGAAAATAAACACTGTCAAGGATATGTGACTCTGTGTGTGTGTGTGTGTCTGGGGGAGGGGTTGTGTCTTGTGTCAGGGTGTGTGTGTGTGTGTGTATGTGTGTATGTGTGTGCATCCACTGGATTCCAGTGTGATAATGGGTTGATCAATCCATGTGTTTCATTCTCTGCATCGTCTGCAGTGGAGCCGAGCCTCTGAAGTTGTAGAGTGAATGGGTGTGGTGCATTTTGGAATTCTTCCTAGAGGACAGAGTTGGGGAGGCAAAAGAAAGAGAAGACAGCGAAGTTGGAAGCTTGCTTTGTGCTACAGAAGCAGCAGTAGTTCAAGGAAAGGGGATAATGGGCACTTAGGTATCCAGGGCCCAGATTGCTGGGATAAGGCACCTCCAAACTCCTTTGTTTGGGGTGTTGATAAGACACATTAAGTTAGAAAAGGATGATGGAAATCTTGAAGTTCACTTATGTGTTGAATTCACATGTTTTTCATTTATAGGTGAATGCATAATCACTTCTCTGGTGATTTTCTGGGATAATCGTCCTCTGGGGTCCCAGCAACATGATAAGAAATGGGCATGTGAGGTGTATGGAGGGACCGTGAGAAAGGATACAGACGCATGTGGGAAGGCATTTGGGATACACCTTTTTAAAATGTCTATTTCTTCAGGCATAGGTGACTAAGGGAAAACACAGACATGCTGAGGTGAGGGGAATGGGGGTGGATCAAGGAAATACAAGAACGCCAGCAGGTCCATGCATGGACTCTCTGTCCCTTGATGACCCAGGATATGGACACTGTTGTTGATGTTTACATCTTCAGATGGATTAAGCTTTTCTCCAAGATTCTTTATTAGGTCAGGAGTGCATATTGTTTGTAACTAACACTATTG